CTTTTTTTGTTTTTTTTTTTGTGCAGGTTTTTTAACACTAGGATATCCTGATGCTAAAAAAAAAATCTGCCAGCTGCTAATTAGCAGCGTGGCAAATGTGTGCACGTGACACATGTGGTTTATGGTGCCACAAACCACACTTGCACACTCATGGGGATATGCCCCTTGGATTCTTTAACACAGCTATTCTTCAGAATCTGAATATGCACAACTACATCAAAGTCAGCAACGCTTTGGCCCACCAGCTAATGAGGACCAGTGGACTGTAAAATGTCAGTATTCTGCTGTACAGAAAATCAAAAGCTGGAGGACAAATGTATTAAAGGATTTAATATATAAATCATTCTTTATACTCCTTAAAGCTTTGAAAAGGAGAGGCAGGGAATATTCCTCTTACATTATGAACTGTTGGTTTTAAAAGGGCAACCTGCCCTCACTTTATTAAGAGGTGCATCATGCAAATTTCATTTTCTGCTGCTTTAATCATTTTTGGGGAAAAATGGATTCATGAAACTTGATGAACTTGTTTAACTCAAAAGCCTGAAATGCACTAGACAAAAAAAGAGAAAGAAGCGTGAATCTTTGTACTATTTTTGCTTGTTGTTTCTTGCAGACATAAAATTATTTATAAAATGTAGATGCAGTGGCAATGATGCTGAATGGTATGTTATGTTAACAAGAGTTCTTATGTCATGCAAAGCAACTGAAATTCAATATTATTGATCTAAACATGCAAATACTGCATTTTGTTATAACAGCTTTATTCCAGATGCAGAAAGTATGTTTTTGTGGTTTAAAGTATTTATGTTAAAATAACTAGAGTTTTGAAATCTAGCATCATTAATCTTGCTTATGTGGAAATCTCCAAAAGCCAAAATACAAGTCCAAGGTCCATCTCATGACTAGTGTCTTGCTGAGTTAATGACTTGGGTAGCACCAATGTCCATCCTGAACCTTGGGTGTACATTGGGACAGCAAGGATCAAATGCATTTGTATCTTTAGCCAATGGTACAAGAGTGAGTGATATGACCATTATGACATCAAGCCACCTCTGTCCCCAGCCTGAATAACCAGGAGGTAAGTTACATCTAGATTGAATTAAATCAGCCTTCAGGATAAGTGTGGAGGAGAGCTCAGACACATGACTCTGGATCAAAATACATTAACTGCTTGGTTGCTGCACCCCTTAAAAGCCATGATGCTTTTCCTAATTTCTTTCCCAGCTTGTTTGAGAAGCAGACATCACCCAATACATGGTGCTAGATCTAACAAAGGCCTTGGGTGGAATTTAGGTGGAACTGAAGCAATAAAGTCCAAAATGCTATCTTAAAACTTTCCATTTTAGTTACTACCTTAACTGAAGGGGGCACCTTAATTCCATAGATTTTCACTTTAATTTCCCTTTTGGCTCTAGAATTGTGCCCCTACACCTGCTCAAAAGTGTCAGATGGTGTCACTAAGCAGATCAATGCTTAGCTCACAGCTCAGCCTGATCAGATTGAGAAACCCAGGCTCCCTAAACATGTGCTTATTGGCATTCTAATTAGAACAGTGCCTCATTGCTGCAGCATCATGTGTATTACGCCCCTGTACATTTCAAAATGGCCACAAGGTGTTTTAACTAAACCTCATTGACTGAGGTTTAGATAAAGCATCCCACAGCCAGTTTTAAATACATTGGGGATTAATACACATGATGGTGAGGTGTTTTAATTAGAACAGCTGCATGGAAACTGCACTAATTAAAACCACCACCACCTCTGAGTACATGTATAGGCATCCCTAGTGTTTTCAGAGCACACCTAACATAGGTTCAATAGGTTCTGGCTCTTTCCAAATGAAGTTGCAATCTACACTTTTTTTGTAAGATGGTGAGAGGAGGAAGTGACCCCCACCACAAACACACGCTTTTATATAGTAGCTCTGAAAGTCAGAACCCGACTTCCCCTTCCCAAGTAATTGCACTAACCAAGAGGTTACCAACTCACACTCCTTACTGTGCTCTTTGTAGCCTTATGAATCTTGAATCCTTTTCATTGCAGTGACACACCTTCAGAAAGAAGGCAAAGAATGTCTCCATTCAGAATAGCCTGTCGCCTCCTTTTCGTGGCACTCTGAAAGAGAGAAAATGTGTGTTTGGTTCCCCATAGGCAGAGGAAGGAGCTGAATCTGGGTAAGTGCTCCAGTCAAAGATGTGCACTCTTTCTCCATCTCTCTTTCTAAATAAATAACTCTAACGAGTTCTTTGAAAGAAAAGGTGTAAGTGCCCACATTCAGGAGAGGCAGCTTAGGATCCCAAAGAAGCCAAGGCTTTCCCTGAAGCTCTAAGTAAGAGAACTGAAAGGAGGAAGCTGGGACTCATCCCATCCTCTGGAGTTTCTCCTTTGAGGTGGTAGCTATCACCCATGGCTCACCTTAATTTTAACAAGCCATCATAAAGGTAGTAAGTGCCTGCTACTCCTCCCACTTGAGGCTGATAAGCACTTCATGGGAAACTTTCAGAATTGGCCAGGATTGGACCCCTAGCAGCCTTATACAACCTTGATCTAAAGTCAACAGAAGTCCACGGAAAGACTGCAGTGAGTTCAAAAGGCATAAATAAGACTAGTCCAATTGGACCTTATACTACTCTACAAGGACCTTAGGCCTCCTCTACACTATGGCCAGGTATGGCCATTACACTTTTATGAGCATAAGTGATTGGAAACCAGTCTATACACACAACAGAACAGAAGTTTGGTGCACACAGACTGGTTTAAAAATGACAGACTCTGATCTAAGATTTGCATCCCCAAAGCAAAGAGCGAATGTTCATTCTGTTTAGTACCAATCTAAACTATACCGCTTACAGAAAACTGCATAACTTAGATCAATTCTGCCATGGGCTTTTTGATTGTCTGTACCTAGCCTATATCTATTGCACAATTACTTTGTCGATTACACAATACATTTAGCTACACGCAAATTAACTATCATGACTTAAAAAGGTCCAACCAGCTATAAAGTTAAGGCTAAAAAATATGTGATAACTCTATAGCTGTTTTCTTCCTAGCTTTAGTTTTCATGTGTAGGCAGTTCTGCAGCTGGGAGACTGCAGCTGGTGTGATCTCCCAGCTGCTGAGGAGCACAACATACCTCTGGGGCTGGGAGATTGCAGCTGCTGAGATCTCCCAGCCATTGTGATCTCACAGCCACAGGGAGCCCCAATGGCTGGGAGACCATAGAAGCACTCCACAACATCGGGGGCTGAGTCCCACAGCTGATAGGGCTTTCAGACCTGGATGTGCTACCCACATGGCTGGGACTGAGAATCCCCACACCTTCTGAGGCTCTCAGTTCTGCCTGCATTACATGCACAGCCAGGACCAAGAGCCCTGCCAGGTTTGGGGATTCTCAGTCCCAGCTGTGCATAGTTGCCACAGCTGGGAGCCCCATAAGCAAAAGGGACTCCCAGCTGCAGGACCCTGCTTCTTCCCAATACAGAGAGAGCACAGGACTGGGCTCCCCCTACACCAGTAATAAGGTGTGATTGGATCTAATGTGAAGTCCCACAGTCACACCTCCTGCCATGCACATGTGGATCACATGCTAGATCCAATCATGCCTTTACCTGCACATGGAGAGGGACCCTTGCACTACTCTCTTCAAATCCATTCCTGAAAGTGGGAGTGTACTTACCTGAAGACCATGCTTATTTAAACTTTCTCAGTTACAAATTGAAAAAGGTATTAGGAAAAAAAATACAGTTGGCTTTGTTTATCCCTTATAAATAAAACAGCCTCTCTTGTTTTTACACTAATTAACCTAATATGAATTGAATGTTTACAGAAATGTATGCCACTGTATAGGCAGATGATGTACATTTATTTAAATGAACAGATACAAAATAAATAATCTTGACAGGAAGAGACAAGAAAAGAGAGATGGCAGGTATAAAACACACTGAACAGTGGGAAGGAATATCCTGTGTTCTACACAACATCTTATCAGTACCAGAGTACAGCATAAGAGTTAACAGCAAATTCCTCATGTTACAGATTAAACTGACAGTACATGTTACTGTACACTAAACAGATTGTTCAGTGTGAGTGTACATGCCACAATGCAACCATGCTGTAGCAACAGGGAAATTTAAAATGAGATAGTGCTTTTAGAAAACAGTGCTTAAGAAAGATAACACTTGCATCTACTTTGCATTTGTATTACACCTTTGCTGATGGGTTAACCTAAGTGAGATACACATCTTATTTTCATAATGGGATGTGGGTTTTAATGCTACAGAACTATACCTCAGTACTATAGAAACAATAGTGTGTTTAAGATGGTAGACAACATTGAATAGTCACAATTTCAAGTCCTTTCTTTGTTATCCCTGAAAAGATGATATTTGTTCTGCACAAGGTAACTTCCGTGGGAAATGAGTTTGGGATAAACCAAAGCTCAAAGTTGAAATAAAATAGTTACGCTCTAAGATTGCAACAGTTTGGAATTGTTCTCCTGTAAATAATTTTGCATTGTGGATGTCAGTTGTAGTTGCAGTGATCTCCAATTCTTGTTTTCTCCTTTGTATCTTGCATAAGTAAGTGTGTTTGGTTTACAACCCTAATTTGCCCAGAACCGCCTCCTTCTGTTGAAAGTTAAAAGTCACAGAACCTGACAATGACTGTACATGCAGCTCCCACCCTGTGTGTGTACAGGGTGTGTAAATCAGAGCAGCTGGAGTCAGGGTTACAATCTGCTGATCAGTGAATATATTGTGTATGTGTTTATATATGTAGTTTGTGTACAGCTGGAGGGGTTCCCTCTTGCCAATGTTAGGATTAAAAATATATTAAGGCAACCTCAGGAGCTTGGACTTAAAAACAAAAGAAAAAGGTAAAGGGGAAAAAGAATACTTCACCATACAGGGAAGCTGATGTCTTGTCTTGAAAAGTTTACCACTTCTAAAGTTAACTTCTAAGAAACTGCAGATGCCTGGATAAAACGTGTCTTGGACAACATGCATCAGCCCATATTTTTCTATCAGCATCTCCTACTTGTTGCTTACCTCTCTTGGATTTCCTTGTTGAATCTTTACATTGAATCAGCTTCATTAGGTAAGGATTTTGTATTTCTTAATCGTTTGACAGTAATTTCGTGGGTGCATGTTGTGAAGTAAGAGGAACAGCTTGTTTACACATTCTCTTGAACAATAGCTACAAGGATAGATTTTTTTTTTTTATACAGTGTATTGAAAATCAGGATGGAAATGAGATCAAAATGTACACTTAACAAAATACAAGTGGTCACACAGCAGTAAGTTATGCTGTGGTCTCTGAAGCCTGCTTAGAAGGCACAGTATTTTCTGTTTTTGAGAGTTTGTTCTTTTTTTGGCTTCTTTTTCTTTTTTAAGATTTTGAGAAAAGAGAGGTGTTCTGGAAATATTTATCTCTTTTAGGAAGTTTCAACTGATTTAAACAGTATCAGTTATAGCAAAATACATAAACGAACCATAAAACAAAAATGTCGCATAAGTCAGAATTTGCTTCTCCAAGAGGAGTATATATTCTATATATTAAAAGCAGAGATGTTATAGTTCAGTTAATTACACATATAATAATATATGGTTATATTGTTTCTGGCAATTAAATGTCATGAGTCATTTTTGGTACTGTACATATTAAATGTGAGCTTTGTTTAACTTACAATATTCCCAAATAATAGGAAACAGGCTTTGCTAGTTTACTTGTGCAGTTTTATTAATTTACTCAAGTGATATATCAGAGTGACACAGTAATTATACAACAGTAAAATCATGTCAGCAATTACTGAACTATTACTGTCTGTCAAAATGAGAAAGAGAAAAGTCAGAGGATGAAAACCTTACAGTGTTATTAGTTGTAGGCAAAGCCTAAGTACAGTATGGGACAGCAGTTATCCCTTGCTGAATATATGCTGGGATATTTTATAAAATTTAATTCAGAAAGGGTTCCTGGTGGTTTTAAAAGTGATTATCAGCCAGTACTCATTAGCTGTATAAAGATAAAACAATTTAGAGCACTCTTCATTTGAATATCAAAGGGTCACCTAGTAAGGTTTGCAGGACTAAACACAAGGCAAATGACCTTATCTTCTTTATCTTCAAACAATGCCTTTAATTTCTAAAACCTTTTGAAGGGTTGCCAGTTTTATGGAGTGTAGCAGCTACTTATCTGATAGAAAAGGCTTTTTCATCAAGGGGAAATGACCTTTTAACTCCTGGTAACAAAGCAACTGCTTTTCCACTTTGGTTTTGTTATTGAAGGTAATATGCATAGACATACTTATTAAAGTGGGAATACAAAACAAGAATTAGGAAATAGCTTTTTGTCTTTTAGATGATTCAGAGTTTTTTATGTTTTGTTTTTTTCTTCTGAAATTGCTCAAAACAGTTTACATTCTGACAGATTGTGCTGTGACATTATAATGATATTAACAAAGCCAGATGCTGTTTACTTTTATACTCTGAAAATAACAAATCTACTAATCCCATAAGGATTTCAGTGTGAATAAGGAAAGTCTGACCACACAGTTCTCTGCAGCTGCCTCATTAAGAAGCAGCACAAGAAAAATCTTTTAAAGAGCAAAGAAGAACTCTCTTTATCATCTTCAGGCATATTTGCAGGAACGGTGAAGCCTACAGTCATTAAGGGTAAATTCATTATTTTGGGGTTTCACACCATCCTGTATGATTGAGAAACATAAAAGGGACACCCATGTGTGTAGCTCCTCTGCTGGAGTATTTTAAGTAAAGCATCCACCACAATAATAAAAGCAACTTAGAGATTCATAGATGTGGGCCAATACTACATAGAGCTTGACAAACTTTTCTCAGACAACTCTATAAGACAGCCTGTCAAAAGACAAACAGTGACTTAAAGAAGTCTTTTTATGAACACACTGAATGTTGAATTAGGTAGTTATTTATACATTGGCATCAACATGATTTCTTTCCCTTTACAAGCCTTTCATGTAGTAGGAGGGCTGTGAAAATTTGGAATTCTTACATGGCCTATATGCAGAGTCAAAAACTAGTACTCAAGATCATGAAATTCATACAAGTTAAATTGAAACATTATATATGAATGAGAATCTTAGTGTATTTGAGGCTGAAGGGGGTGAAGAAGAAAGATGCAGTGCAAATTGGATGGGTAACTAGAGTGTATGAAGTGCAACCAAGACAAGCAATTAACTTTGCAAGACAAAAAAGCAATGGAACCATGACTTAAAGAAACAGTTGCTAAGGCAGAAAATAACCAGGCATGTTAAACTATTTGATCTCTCTTTTAATCCTACGAGCTTTAATCTTCCTCTCTCTGAAAAAAGTGAAAACCAAAATAAACCAATGCAATTTGCTTTATGCATAGTCACAGCTAAAGTAACCCTATGATTCTGGTCCTCTAACTGCTCCACTATTAGATTAGATCAGATGAAAATGCACAAGGACTATAAACTTTAATACTTCTGGGCAAAACCCAACTACTAACTGCCTAGAGTTAGGAGGAAAGTTTCCTATGGACATATCAGTACATAATTGTCCACTATGGGAGCATCTACATGTGCGTTTAAGCACAACTAAATTTAATGTACATTAAGATAATGCACAATAAGTGATTTTTTTTTTTTTTGCCAGGTGTCTGCACATGCAGATACTTGGCACTAAAGTTAGTGCCAAGTCCCTGCAGCCCTAGCATGTGCCCCTAGTGGCTGGGCAGACACAGAACTAAAGCTAGTGCTAGGTCACACCTACATGTGTGTTAATGTATTTTAACTAATTGCTCCTAAATTTGTTACCTGCATTTCCACACACATGTAGACACGCACCCATAGTGCATATTAAATTGGGCTAATGTGCATTAATGCATCTCATGTAGATGCATCTTATGGAACTTTTATATCATCCTCTTAGGCATCTGGCATTGGCTTCTACTAAATGCAGGCCATTAAATGAAGTACATCAAGACTAGAGACAAACTGATATAAGTGATTGGAAACTGTTTCAAATCTGTAACACAACAGAAGTTCAGCACACATAAACCTCTTTCAAAATGGCCAAAACTGGTTTAAGATGAACCTGGATGGAGAAGTATCAGACTTAACTGACATAGGTTAAATCAGTTTATTGAACTTCTGTCTCAGATCCCCTCCAGATTCAAGTTAATTCACAGTTCACTAGCATACCAGGATGCTTTGCATCTCCCCTCTAAGTCCCCCCCTCTCAGGGTGGGTGGGCTACCCTTGGTGCAAGCTGTCTGCTCCAACTGAGCAGGGAGGCATGCTCTAGCATCTTGTCACCCCCACCACCCGGGGTTTGTGGGCTGGGCCACTGCAGGCATTTGGCTGCATTTCCAGAATCAAAAGTTAATATCTATTCACTTGCTTATCAGTTTAATCTACACAGCTTAGACTAACCTGTAAAGACTGCATCAATTCAGCCTCGTGCTTTTTGATTGTCTGTAGTACTTAGCCCCATAGTCTATGAGTAAAGCAGTTCTCAGCTCCCTATGTTTTAGCTGTCCACCCTCCTTCCTAGCTCTCCTATTGGCATTTGTTATTTCCCTTTTTTGTGCCTTAATTTAAGGTCCAAGCCTCATTTTATGGTCCAAGCCTTAAACTAAATAGTCCATACTCATCTGGTAGATATGTGCATCGAGACTATGTGAAAATGTAACAGTGTTTAGGAATAGTGGGATAAATGAGCAATGACAGTTCACAAGGAAAATGGAGCAAAATGTTTTGTGTATCTTATCCAACTTTTGTTTGTTTGTTTTACAATTTAATAATATTTATATATCAAGTTGGGTTTCTTTTTAAGCAGCATATATGGAAAGTAACTGCCCTGACCTCAATAGAATTAATTCGATGTACACTTGCAGGAACTAAGGTTGGAATCTGACCTTACATCATTATTATAGGCAGAGCACATAATGAGCCTGTAGTTGCACGTTGACTTCTATTTGCTCATAACCTTTTCAGTCTTCTCTCTGCCTAAAATACGGAACAGTTACTCTCAGTACAGACTAATTGTTTCATAAGAAAGCCAACATGGTGCAGCTGTTTGGAGTAATGAAGAGAGTGGGAAAAATACTCTTTTACATTAAAAAATATTGAGTGACATGTTTGAACAACTTTAGTATGTCAGTGGTGGATGTTAGAAACTTGAAATTTGGCAGACCGACAATCCGTAACTCACAGATGTGCCTTTTGATGGCCTGATGAAAATTGATTATGATTTGTCAAAGTTATAGAGATTTACAAAATGCATTTAGTGCAAGAACGCTGGACTCTGTGGGCACCTATACATGTACCCGACACCTGCTCTGATGCATGCTAATTAGCACATATTGGAGCAGACTCAATTAATTGAGTCAATCCTCAATTAATTGAGTCTGCTGAAGTGTGCTAATTAGCACGCTCCAGCAGCCTCAGGATCACATGTATTCAGCATCTCTGCACTTAAAAATGGCAGCAAGGGCTCTTTAACTAAAGCTCACTAAGCAAGCTTTAATTAAAGTGTCCTCACCACCATTTTAAAGTGTGGGACACTGAATACACAAGATGCTGTGGGTGTTTTAATTATAGCAGTTTAATTAGAAAGGAAATGGCTCAGGAAGGCCTTGCAGAATCCAAAAGCATAGGCAACATGAAACATAAATATTAACTTAAGGAAACTTTTCTTTAGATTATTGCAAAAAGCAAACTTGTTTTGATTGTTTAATAAGGTTTAATAGAACACGTGTAGATGAAATGAGGGGCATGTGTCCACAACATTTTAAAGTGGATTAAATGCTTTTGCACCACTTTAATGATGTTGTTGTTCACATGCATCAGCGGTATATTGCACATTGATTCCAGCCACTGTAGCACATTCAGCAGCATAATGCACCTTAAATGACTGGGGTGCAGCAAACTAAAACACCTCTGAGGAGTTTTAGTTTGCTGCCTTACAGCTGTGGAGTGAAGCACAAGGCTCTGTGGGGCTCAGGTGCTCTGCAGGCAGCCCATGCAGGCAGCCTGGCAGCAGCCTGGGAAGGCAGGCTCTACCAAGGGGAAAAAAAAAGTGGCAAGCCTGATCTTT